AAAAAATCAAATCCACAGTGACAGACTGAGCGACATCTGCATTACTGTAGACGTCCAAACTTCATCTGACTGCCCTTCATCTCTTTTTCTCCTACAGAACCCAGAATCTCTGGACTCGTCCATCCAGAGTGTGCTGTCGGCCCTCTTCCCACCGTTTGAGGCCACAGCGCCCATCGTCCTCTGCCAGCTGTTTCGCACTATTGAGGAACGTTATCACGGTGATGCTCTGCAGTGTTTACTTGACTTCCTGATTCCTTCCAAACATGTGCTGGAAAGTGTCCAACAGGCAGCATGTGTGAGTAGAAATCATATCTTGTGTCTTTGTGAAGTCTTCCATATGTTAAAAGGTTGAGGGGTTCAAATAGTGTCAACTGTCCAAGTGATAAAGGCTACCCTGCAAACTTGTGCTGCTGCAAACGTCTTTTTCACTGTATAGAAGTGATTAATAAAAATTGTGATTTATAAGCTACAGCATACTGTAGACATTGTTTTGTTTTGTATAGAAAACTTAGGCTCAGTCAGAGCATCAGATGCCCACATGAATCTAAACGCCTCAAATTACACCAGTGGTAAATTCAGTTTTACAGTATGATCAAAAGATTTACTGTAGATGTCCAAACTTATAAGCAGGAAACACAGAACCAAACAATCAATACAGCAATGCAGTGAATTAAGTAGACAGTAATTTAGAAACAAAACTGCATTGTAAGAAACCTTATTTGATTTTTTCCTAGGCTGGATACTCTGATGTGGTTTTCCGCTGTGAGGGCTGGCCTCTCTGTCTCCATGACAAAACGGTCATCCAGTTAGCGCCCGTTAACCCCTTGCTGTTGCGTCCTGGAGACTTCTATCTTCAAGTGGAGCCTTTTGGGGAACAAGCGGCACGCATCGTCCTCAAATGTCTTCTTGAGGAAGGATGTCGAGAAGTGGAGGAGACCCCCATCCCTGAAACGTCTTATCCCTGCATCTTCACCGAAGACTGGCTGCGGGACATCAACGAAGGACGTGATGGAACTCCTTTGTCACGGTGTTTGCTTTGCACAGACCAAGGTGTAATTAAGTTGCCGTGGGCCAAAATCGCAATTCCAGAGTTTTTAGACAAGCCTAAGATCATGCCCACCTGTCAGAAATCTCACCCTGAGCCAAAGCAGATTTCAGTTCCCATCCACTTCAACTCCTCCACCCTACCAGTTGAAGCCACGATTCTTCCAGCAAATGACAGGATGTCAGCATCATTAAGACCCGCAGCCTGTTCTTCCAAACTTGTCAAAATGGAAGATAAAAGAGGGGCCCCGAAATCCTGCTCCAAACCATTAATCAAGCCGGTGGGTTGGGTTTCTCCTAATACCTGGGACAGTCATAACTATCAAGAGATTGAGGGTGATTATGTAGACCTGGTGGATATCGACAAAGGGAAAGAGCTTGTGGATAAACAGAGAGACAGGCTTCCAAATCCAACCAATTCAGTTTTGTTCAAACCTGTTAGACCACCCCCACCTGTGCCGCTTGGGAATAGCGTTCCCTGCGGACGCACGCTTCAGTATACAGAGGAGCGTTTTACACCATGCAGCCAGGGGAAGCTGGAGCAGGACCTCACTGATGAAGACATGAAGTGCAGGTACAGAGATTCATACCTGGCGGCACTGACAAATCCAGTGCCTTTTGAGAAAGGGAGTGTAGACCTCCTGGCTGCCTTGGAGGAGGTCGGCCTGACTGAAGATGGGGAGTTAAAATCTAAGGCTAAAATTGGTGCTCAAAAAGACCAAGTAGGAAACTATTGTAACCACTGTAAGGAACCTGTGTTTGGTAATGAGCCCTTCCCTTGCAAACACTGCCATGAGCCAACACCAGCAAACTTAAAGCCCCACCTTCCTAGTAAATGTGAGCCGGAAAACCTCATGAAGGAGTCGCCCATAATTTTGAAATCAACCCCTGGTTTGAGCCAAAGTCAGAGAGTTCAGACAAAACTTATTTCTCACCCATCAGGACATTGTGCTTTTATGCATCCAGTATCAGATGTGTCCTCGGGGACCCCTGGTGGTGACCTGGAGTCGCACCAGAGGGGGAAGGATGTGAAACCATCAGGCAAGCACAAAGTTAAAGTGAGGTCTTTGTCCGCTGTCTCAGAAACTCCTACAGGGAGGCCACTTCTCTATAAGCTCAACAACAGGAGCCATAGTGATATTTGCCCTGAAACAGTCACGAACTTAATGCACTGTAGGCAAGAAGTTCAACTTGATGAGGAAACTCTGAAACTGGAAACAGAGAAGTGTCTAAAAAAAGGTAAGTGAGGGATAACATCCATGCGACTCAACAACATTGTTATTATTTTGTGCACACAGCCATTAAAATGATCGGTTGCTCCATGTTCAAAGGGGCTTTGAAAGAATGTGCTCCAGTGAAGGTCACAGTTCACGAAGGCTCTTTAAAAGAGGGTTCAAAGGTTAAAGATCAGGTTTGAGTATGATCTTCCTCTAGGGATTCTCCCAATGCTGTCTGGGTTCTCTGGCAGTACAGCCACATTTATGTCATTCCCATTATCAAGGGAGTGAAAGGAAATAGCATGCTGCACACCAGTGAAAGAAAGGGCCTGAACCCACTGGGTAGAAAGAAAAAAGCAGAGCATTCTTGTAATGTAGAGAGACAGCATAACGTGCAAGAAGGCAGTTTCTCTATCCTCTGCACCCAGTGGCATGTGCCCGCAAGCCCTCAGAGGGGCAAGTTGAGATCTTGACTGGAGACATGCTTGTCACGGGCTGTTAAAGTGGCAAAGAGAGAGAGGACAGATGAGGCCTTGTTGGCTCCAAGAGGAGGCCAACTAGTAAAAGCAAGATTTAGTAGTCAGACCGCCGCTGTGTTTTGTTATAAAGACCATGTCCAGTATTTAGAAGTGGTCTGTGAATGTCTGTGCAGCTGTGTAACTTTAAACATGTTAAAGATATGGCTGTTAAAATTATTAATTGCTGTTGTCATAAAAGGGCAAAGGTTACTGGACAGAAAATGAAGCTGACAGTTTACAGGAAGGCGTTGCACGATCTTAGAATAAAGTCCCTCAATAAAAAACAGTCTAATGGATAATTAAAAATATATGATCATTTTTCATGCTTGCTGCCAAAAATCATGTTTTGAGTTGTCACATTTATAAAACATTCAAAATATATAAATATATTTTTTGCTTTGTCAGATTCTCAGCCGAGCAGAAGTGAAGCTTTGTCCACTGCAGAGGGGCCGGGTACCAAACTCCACAACTTAAAGACAGAAAGTATATCCTCTTCTGACACTCAGCATCCCTCGCAAGAGTCAGCTTTCAGGAGGATCAGTGGCCTGCTTGAACTGGGGATTGTGTGTTTACCAGGTAATTTTGCACTTGTTAGTGTATGACATGAGAATATATTATTTTGCAATGTGATTTTTCACTGCAAAATAACCATTTCTGGCATACAGTACATGTTACTGTATGCTTCAAATTTCTTTTTTGTACCTAAGAAGTCAAATACTGCACACAACATGACGACTTAGCATTTTAACAGGTAAAAACAGTTTTTATTTGATCAGAGGATGACATCAGCGGCTTCTGTGTCATTGTAAGATGTGATGGATCAGATGTTATAATTATTATGTGCCTCAAAAAGCTCAGCAGAAGCGAGTGACGCCTCAGTTTTCAGTGTTAAACATAAAAGGTTAAATTTAATGTAGCCTTGACTTCCTGTGACTGAAAATTCATATAAAGAAAACTTTTACCACTTCATGGATTTATTAAAAGCATCTTCTCCATCATGTCCATCCGCAGGCAGCAGGGACAAGACTGGCAGGGCAGTTGTGGAGGTCCATGGTGACAGGATGGGGTGGACGTCCCCTCTTGTGTCAGCACAAAGCATCTGTGAATTACTGCTCTACTTACATTCTATACCAAGGTACAGTGCTGAAAGACTGAGATGTATCTCTAGAGAAAAAAGATAACATTTCTGCAGTTAACAAACCTGTGAGAATGGAGTTTGTGCTTTGCAACATGTGGGAAGCTGATGTCTTCAGTGTGCCAGAAGAGGAAAATACTTGCTGGCTTTTCATTTAGCGCCTGTGATTATTATGTTATGAAAAAGTTCTACCACAAGAGGGCAGCAATATATCATTTTCAATATTTCCAGTGGTCAGCAGGAAGCTGTGAATAATATTATGCATGACCTCATATCCACACCAACTGTTCTCCTATGGGTAATTAGTTTGTATAGCAACAGTTCTACAACTGTACAGATTTGACCTCTGCATATAGCACCTTAAGATCATTTGGCAGTAACATGGCTAATGTTTACTGACCGGTGGCCAGTAAACATTAGCCATGTTACTGGTCTAGTAAAGGGCAAATTAG